TTTAAGGTGTTTAAAGGAAAGATTTATCAGCTAAAAAAAAAAAACCAAAACACTTTCCTGGGTGAAGGCATCATTCCAGTTGTGGCAATGAAGGGAGCTCGTGCGTGGGGGTTTAGAAAGCCTGGGAACAAGTTTTCAAAAGTTATCTGTGTTGGGGGTTGGGGGGAAGGAATGACAATTTTCTAATCGTAGCGCTGAATTTTTTTGATGACTCCTTTCTTTGTCCATGGGATTGAATTTTTTAAAACTTTAATAAAGTGAGTTTGAAAGTTTTAACCCCAAAAAGTTGATTTCGCGGTCAAAAATTTTATTAGCTGTGAGTTTAGAAACGCTGCCTTATGTTTCAGTCTTTCAGCATGCTGGTGGAAGTCAAATCTGGCAACTCTTTGAAGAATGAATTAAACAATTTCCTTAACCTTTGATGCTAACCCTTTCAGGAAAACGTTCAGCTGAGAAAGTTCTTTATATCAGGTCAGGATAATGTGAATTATGAGAGCAGTATGTAAATGTAGAGCAAGCTATTTGGGTAACACTCCCCATGAATAATTTTACTAAATTCATCTCTGTTGAACTTTCTTACCAAAGGCATGCTTTTGGTAAATTACTGTAGTTTTTCCTTGTTTCCTCCTACCCAGATTTTTGTGCTGAGATTTTTCTCTAATCCTCCCTTTTAAAAACCTTCTTGTAAATGCAGTTCATTTTACACTTAGCATATTAGAGATGTTTCACGTGAGCTTATTTCTATCAGGTAGTAGGTTGGTAGAGACTTTATTTACTAAACTGCTTGAAAACATAAGTCCTTAGTTACAAAACATAAGCTGTACCTTAGTTATTTCTTGTTTTAATATTTCCAGTCTAAAGATAGTAGTCTTAACATTTTGGTAATCCCTTTTCAAGCCAAATAGATGTTGAGCACTTATCGTTTAAGAGTTTTTGGACAACCAATGTGGTGGATGGAATTCATTTTTTTGTATTGGTAGCCATTCATTGACTTTAGAAAGTCAGCTTTTAGATACTAGTCTCTGTGTGTGTATTGGAGTGATCTTACTGTTCACAACACTGGAGTTAATTAGGCGCTATCCAATAACCCCCCCATAGCACAGCAGTTTCTCAGAAGTTAACTTTAAAGCATAGGGTTATTTTTCCCAGTGGAGAATGGCAATAGTCTTCGTACAAATTTTAGTTGCCTAAGCCCTAGAAGGAAGGTCACTTAAAGATATATGGCCCCAAAAGGTTAAGTAAATTGTCCTAAGTCTTAGAGTCCTCGATGACAACTGGGACTAGGGCCTATAAAGAATGTTGTAATGGAAAAAGAATGGGTTTTAGAGCAAATCTGGGTTCGGATCTCAGCTTTCTACAATTACTAGCTTTATGAGCTTGGGCAATGGAGTGAAATATAACTAGCATTTCCTTGTGTAATGTATGCCGAACACACATCACCTTACTCTGCAAAGTCATATTATTTTATAGAAGTGGAAGTAGAAGCTTTAAAGAGTTAAGTAATATATTAAGTTATTTTGTAAGATGATGGAGGAGGGGGACTTGTGAAAATGAAAGCATATTTTTCTAAATAATCATAGGTTGGTTATTCAGAAAACTACAAAAAGACAATGAGAAGGAATATATATATTCTTAATATACATGTGGACCCAGTTACTTTTCTTGTCAGCATAGTCTGTCCCTCTAGGCAAATCTGAATGGGAATGCAAAATATAATTAGCTGCTTAGTGAACCTGAAATCAGAGGAAGGGGAATTAGAATTAGTTGGATAACCTTATGATAGACTTAGTATGGTGTAACCTTCTCCCCTAGGCATTATCTGGATCAGGGGATTCATTACCTAGGTAAAATCTTTTCTGAATTTGATCTCTGATTTACCCTTCCTTTTCCCTTTGCCCCCTCAAAAATTTTTATAGATATAAGATACCATTTTTCTCTTAGGACATACTTTCATTAGGCTGAAGATAATACAGTTTAGTAAGTACGTCCTGTGTGTCTAAGGGTGTGTATACATATATTGGTTCCCTTGATTGAGTTTCAGATGTTTCCCCTCTGAATTGATCCTGATTTTTTTTTGTTTTCATTCTAACGTTAGTTTGTGGGTGTTAACCTTGCTGTTTACCCCAGATACCACCTACATATCTGTCTTGTTAATATGAGTGACCTGTTCAAGAATTGAGTTATTCCTATGGACAGAATTCCGGGTTTTTGGTTGTTTTTTTTTTCTTATCCTATAGCCTTTGATTACCTGTAGGAGGCAGTATAACACAATCTGTAAGAGCATTCTTGGGCTTAAGGTTAAGGGGACCTGAATCCTAATCCTCTACTTTCTTGGCAGGCAAAGGAGTTAACTTCTAATTTCCTTGTGTATGAAAAGTATATATGCCAGCACATAATCACTTAGTAAATGCTAGTCATTATTATCATTGTGTATATTTATCATAGATAATCGTAAGGGTGTGTGTGTGTGTGTGTGGCCTGGTACCTCATGTGTCTTCAGTGTTCCAATTTTGACAGTTTGGAAAGCACTTTATCTTGTGGAATCAATCTTGATTCTAGAGAATAAACCATTTCTCCGTTTCATACCTTCAGAGACTTGGTTATCCATTTCTTTGAACATTCTGAGATTTTCTCACATAGGCAGATTTTTTCACAGCTTCATAAGAATACTTTGCTTTGGCTTTCTCCTGTCTTAAAAATAATGAAATGAGAGTTCTGGAGTTCTTCAGGCAAGAATTGAATTTGAGGCTAAGGGTAGTTCACTCCCTTTATTCCTTTCAACTCCACCCCTCCTTTTTTTTAATTTTTTAATTTTTTTTTTATTTTAAAGAGGGATGTTTTTTGAGAGGAGGTTGGCCAAATTTTAGACTATCACTAAGTGTTACTTTTCTTATGCTTTCTGAAAGTACGATTCATTAATTCTGTAGTGACCAAAGAATTACAGTACATTCCTAAAAAGTTTGCTATACCATTAATTGGCTGTTGGTTGTTAAGACTGCTCATGGGAGAGTCAAAATATGCTCTCAGAATCTGTTCTGAGCCTTCTATTTCAGAGAGATACCTGTATTTATAAGGGTGTAAGGGGCAGCATACAGGTTTTTTTGAGTAGTAATTATCTTCTTTGAGGCAAGTTCAATGATTAGCTCATACAGAATTTGACCATTTGGCCCAGAGGACTTTAAAATTGCTTTAATAACAGTGATTACCACTGTATCTTGGTTCAGATCACTTTCTACCCAATTGTGACATTTTCATAGCCTAAATCACACATTCTGTCAACTCTAAGTTTGCTAAGTCTGAAACATACACTTAAAGATATTATAAATTTAGTTAACCTTTCTAGAAAGTAAATAATTTAGATCAGTGATGATTGAAATTACTAATAAGAATATGTTGAGGTTAGCAACTAAAGCAAAAGTGACAGTCTACCCAGCCTTCTTTGCATTTGGCAAAAATAAGGCTTAAAGGTTTGTTGTTAACAATTTAGGAAGAAAGTCTGAAAGTTTTCACTAAGAAATCTTAAAGATGAACTTATGGCCCATTAAAGAAGCATTTTGTATAATCTGTAGGTTCTAACATTCATTGTGTTTGGTTTATTGAGCTGGTTCATTTCCCTTGTGTTTGACTTTTTAGTAGTGTCTTTGACTACCTTATAGTGTATCTAGGATTGGCTTCTTCTCAAATTTACTTATATTAGGTACATCCAAGGCACTGGAGATAAACCTATAAATCATTTTCTCTGCCATCAAGGAACTTGTAGTCTAGTAAGAAGAGACAGACACGACAATAAAATGATAGATACCATGTTAGAAGTATGTTCAGATTACAATGGAAACAGTAAAGGAAGGGAGTCATAAATTCTACTTGTGAAGGTTGGGAGAAGCTTGTATAATTGGCTCTTGAACTTCATTGAGTGAAATGAATAGCTGTTGAACAGGGAGGGGAGGGCATTGCAGGCACTGCAATTGGAAGCAGCATTAACAAAATGAAATTGATGTGCCTAAGAAGTGGATAATTTGGTTGCTGACCAGAATGAAAAATCAAGTTTGAATAGGTAATAGACTATGGAGGGTATTTTGTCATGCTAAAATGATTGTATTCTATTCTAACAAATGGGCAACCATTTAGCAGTTAAATTTAGCAGTTTTAAACAGGGGAGGATCATGAAGAAATATGTTGCTGTTCAGAGACACCTGGGTAGTTGTGTTTTTAGAAGAGAGCTGGTAATAAAGCATATCTTAAGTATCTAAAATTGAAGATTTCCACTGCTAACCTATAGAATTAGAATTTCCATTTTGTTCTAAAATTTGGATTTGGAAGTGAAATTGACATTTTCATTCTTTCAGTATAGTGTTGTAGTGGGTTGCTGCGACAAAAGCAGTAAAGATTTTTGTTTTTAATACTTTAATTTTATACTTTGTTTTGCATTGGAAATGCCTTTTTTCTGCTAATCCATTTATTTAAAGGACTAGTTCTGGGTAGGGAAAGTAAATACTAATTGTTGATTTTTAACTAATATTTTCTTATGATTGGTGGATTAACTACAGATGAACTCACTGTAAATGAAGGTATCCCCAACTCTTCTCATAAGGGTGTGGAGATGGGTGGTGGTCTTGGATTCTTTGCAAGTTGGTGGCATTATCTAGCTCCCCAAGTTAGAGTGCTGAAGACCAACCCTATGATCCCTACCCCCTCAACCAAATCTAGTTGATTATTCAGGTTCTGCTGATTTTTATCTTCCAGGTATTTTTCCAGGCTGTGACTCATCACCCCTCCCCCCATTAACGTTATCCATCTTAGGTTAGTTAGGGTCCTGGTTTCTTGCAAGTATGTTGCACTATTAAACAGTGGCTTCCCCTGGTCACAGTATCTCTAGTTCTACTAGTTCCCTGATATTAATCCCCTACTTTGCTATCATAACCATCTCTTATATCTTCTAATCCAATCAGATCACTGCTTCTAAGGCTCTGTAGGTACCTATTACAGTGGTTCTTAATCTGGGGGTGGGCAGGGGACAGATTCCAATCTCTTGGTAACTGATGGAAGCTATTGACATATGCCTCAAAAAATGCTCGTAAGTGTATACTTGTATTTCTTGGGCTTTTTTGGGATCACCTTCAAGTTCTTTCATAAATCTGGTATTGTGAAGATTCTTGTAGACTGTCTTGTTTCTTTTAATGTTTTATTTGCTTAGAATGTTCATCCTCCCATCCCACTCTTTTGTCCTATAAGGCTCTGCTCAAGATCTTTCTTCCAAAAAGCATAAGCATCCCCCCCACCACCACAAAAAACAAAACAAACAAAAAAACACTGGACTGTATACACCTCCTCTCTGCCTTCATAACAACTTTGTTACAATCTTCAGTACCTTAAGAGTCTTGCCCACTAGTGATAGTCTTCAAATTGGGAACTCTACTTCCTCATTTTTGGTCCGCAGTGTAGAACTTGTGTAAAGTAGGCATTTGTTTAATGCTTATTTAATAATTGAGTGAAGTCAGAATTTTTCAAGCTTTTAGCAGCTTTTTCCTCTGTGAGTAAAGTACTTATATAAGCTTCTTTGGAAGTAGATTTGAAGATACATGTTATGAGGATTTTAACTAAATGGACACCTTTTTATATTTTCTTGATTATAGAAGAGTTAATTCTAAGGTCTCTTACAGATGTAAAATTGTAATTTTACTTTGGGCATTTTCACAAGTAAAAAACTTGAAAGCTTTTCACATTTATAGAATCTTCAGTGTAACAAATTGTCTAACTTTTGAAGTCTGAATGTCCGTTTCCTTAAAATATCGTTCAGCCAGTTTAGACTGATGTCTAGGCTAAGTTGTGCTTTCCATTTTTGGGAAAGGGAACAGAAAAGGTTCCCAACATTTGAAAAGACCACTTCTGGAAATACTTAAATCTTTTCATCAGTATATTTTTACATATCACTGAACTTATATTACCATATACTAGGAGTGGACATTTAGAATGTTAAAGAACCAGAGACAGATGCCAAGAGTTCTTAGGAAACTACTTTAAAGATTTTTATATTTAGTACTAAGATTTTTCTTAATTTATTTAGTTCAGCATATAATACCAGCAATTTACTTTAATGCTATGTGCTTATTGAAGCTCTGTTTTACCCAACTGCCGAAACTACACATATTCTTGACTTGCAAACCCTTCATTGTGAAGAGCATGTTTAATAGGTGCTACAGAAGCAAGACCTAGTGCTCTACTCAGTAGTGGAAATGAAATTGCTCATAAAATGAAAGAACATTATTATTCTTGTATAACAGTAATGAGAGAAAAAATGGGTGAACAGTTGTGTTTGATTTGTATAGTTTGTGTTAAAATAGTATGGGTAAATATTTTGGTGGATAGGCTTTTGTCTGAGTTACTGTTAAAAGTTAGGACATTTGGTCTGATAATGCCAGAGGACTTCAGAAATTGGGACTGGCCCAGAAAATCAGAAAATGCAGAACACAGTGACCATAGCCTAAAATGACTGCCACAGTTAGATATAGCTACCTCTTTCTTAAAGAGTTTGAACTGCGAGTTTGGACTGCCAGATGTATAAACTCTAGGTGGGTTCTTGATTTGTAAATGCTAGGTCACTGCTTCCACAAATACTTCATGATGTGCTGCCAAATTTTGATCAGTGCTTAAATTTTTGCTTCTTCCAAGTATTTATACTGTTACTACAACATCAGAACTTTGAACCAAATGAGCTTTGCTGGGCAGGTATGGCATGCATAGCAAAGCTCAGTTTCAGGCCTGCATCAAAGGAAGATTTTTCGAGTTTGGAAATTTCTGTAGTGAGTAGAAAGATAAGGTTATTAGTAAAAAGTCATATTCAAATAGTCTCATAAGAGGGAGATCAAGTAAGCAGTATGATGCTTTTATAGAAAATTATACCATAGCATTGATTGTAGGTGTTTCTAGTATTGGTTTAGTTCTTTATATATTTATACGTGTTCATTCCCCTCTACCATAAATTTGGTGATGCTAAACATGCTGGTTTATGTACAAGCTCTAAAGGTTGAAACAATGTCTTTTATCTCACCTCCTTCCCTGCACACCTTCAAAAGCAAAAAAAATTTGGACTTGAGCATTATTTGTTTTGATTACTTCACACAAACCTTGGCTGTTACCAGTTTTTGCTGAAGATTGGGTGTTTGGTAGGGAAAAATAGCTAATTTAGAGCATGAGACTTTTTGGTATGGTAGATCGAGAATGTGAGGGACTAGGCATACAGTATAAGGCATTCTGTATGTGAGACACCGGGACGGTGATAGACTGCCAAGGGTCAGTTGGAAATAGAGGAAAATCTCTACTTGCCATTCTTCCTTCTGTATATAGTGATCCTGTATCTCAGATTTGCAAGGTTATCTTGCAAATACTGAAGGGACCTGGAATTCTAATTTTGGTTCTTTTCAGTTGACTTCTCATACTTGAAAACACACAAATTCTTAAGTGGACCATGTGACCTGGTTTAGTTTCAAGAGAATTGGAATTGTATGTATGGCTGTGTTCAGTACTCAAACTTTAACCTAGTATTTTTGTGCTTTAGCCTTACCCATGTGAGGTGGGGTTAATTAAGGAAGTTGTGGGATTGTTTAGGAATCTTACCACCAGTTAGAATATTATTTCCATGAGAATTCTTTTGCAGTCTTAACTGTGTTTCCAACACCCTTCAATATTTTTCCCTAATTCCCCCTTCCTCTCTTCTCTCCAAGCATATCAGTCCTCCCAGCATGTTTACAATCTAGTATGTATCTTTCCATGTTTTTCCCATGCTCCTATAATCTTAGATTTGTCTGTGTGTCATTATTTCACAGAAATGGACTAACACTTCAGGTCACAATTTTCAGTTATCTTTTCTACTAGAAATGTCTAAGCACTTTTTTGATTGGAAAAAGTGATTACTTCAGTTATTTAGCGAAGTTATTAAACAGTGTACTGTGGCTCTAGAGGAAATTACCATAACTTTAGTGATGCTAAACAGAACTCTAATGAGTACTTGTCAGATTGAAAGAAAGAAAATTATAAACTTTTGAGAATTTTGAGTTCAGGAATTTTTGATAAGGTATTTTGAAAGTTGATTGGGAAATTATATAGCTGGATATTCCTGTAGTTGAAACTCATTTTCCTATTAGGGTCTTAACTTTATCTTCTTGAATTAGATTTAATTAACTTCATTGACCTAAACTATTTGGATGTTTGCCAAGACTTAAGATTTACCTTTTTAGTAGTGTTAAATAGGATGAGATGCCCAACATACTGTAACTTGAACATTGTTAGTTCAATTAGGAAGGCTGCTGCATTCCTATCAGAGATAAAACAAACTAATTTGATTCATATATAGGAAATTTTCTTTTCATAAGAAAGTATTATTATGATTTTAAGTAATTCTTAATCTATATCCTTGGCTTATATATGAAAAAAGTAACATGATTCATGCTATTCCTCAAATGAACTCCTGCTGATCCTCATTCAGATGTGTTTGACTTAGAATAGCAGTGGCTTGCACCAAGCTCTTCACAACTTTACTCTCAGTATTTGGGATCCCTGTGAACACTATGGTCTCAAAATACATCAGGATTACTAACGTTAATGTGTTTGGTTAGCACTTTTTAAAAAGTTATATTGATGATACATGTTTTCCTTTGGGGTTTTTAAAAACTAGATAAAATTTAATGTTGATGTTTTCCATCCAATTACAGGAGTCAGAAATACCATCAGAGGAGGGGTACTGTGACTTTAATAGTAGGCCAAATGAGAACTCTTATTGCTATCAACTTCTTCGACAACTAAATGAACAAAGAAAGAAAGGTATTCTTTGCGATGTCAGCATCGTGGTGAGCGGAAAAATCTTTAAAGCCCATAAGAACATCCTGGTTGCAGGCAGCCGTTTCTTTAAGACTTTATATTGCTTTTCAAACAAAGAAAGCCCTAACCAAAACAATACTACCCATTTAGATATTGCTGCAGTTCAAGGTTTTTCAGTCATCTTGGACTTCTTGTATTCTGGTAACCTGGTGCTCACAAGCCAAAATGCCATTGAAGTGATGACAGTGGCCAGCTATCTTCAAATGAGTGAAGTTGTTCAAACCTGCCGAAATTTCATTAAAGATGCCTTAAATATAAGCATTAAATCAGAAGCTCCAGAGTCTGTTGTCGTGGACTATAATAATAGAAAACCAGTTAATAGAGATGGTCTATCTTCATCACGGGATCAAAAAATTGCCAGTTTTTGGGCGACACGGAATCTTACCAATTTGGCAAGTAATGTAAAAATTGAAAATGATGGTTGTAACGTCGACGAGGGCCAAATAGAAAACTACCAGATGAATGACAGTAGTTGGGTCCAGGATGGTTCACCTGAATTGGCTGAAAATGAATCTCAAGGTCAAACAAAAGTGTTTATTTGGAATAATATGGGCTCCCAGGGAATTCAAGAGACTGGCAAAACAAGGAGGAAAAACCAAACTACAAAGAGATTTATTTATAATATACCACCTAATGAAACAAATTTAGAAGATTGCTCAGTGATGCAGCCACCTGTTGCCTATCCAGAGGAAGATTTATCATTCATCAAGGAAGAACCAGGTAAATATTTTACATACAAAGGTATCTGGGTTTTCATTCTAATTAATTCTGATTGGATATAATCTTGAAGTATATTTTTAAAGTATTTTTTAAATCATAAAAGTAATCCACAAGTAATACTAAATTGGAGTGTTTATAGTAGAAGGGAGAAAATTACTCAAGCATATAATTCTGCTATGTCTTTTCTCTGAACATGTGTGTGTGTGAGTTTCTCAAAGTTTGTGTTAATCAGGTGTTTGTTTATATTATTATGTGTAATGTGGACTCAGCTTCATTTATAGTTCTTAGGTGTTTCTGATCTTTATGCTCTGATCACTTTTTTTGCATCCAGTGCTGGAAAGGATAGTCTTTGTAATCTTAGTTAAAATCTTAGTTGTAATATATAATCAGTTTGTCATTTCAGAACATTTTTGAGACCTAGTTAACATTTTTTATTCCCAATTTGTGGGGGGAGTAAACATTTGTTTTATAGAATTTTGCAAATGACAGTGGGATTATTCTAATTTGTTTAGGGCTACTGTTCTGTCTCACCATAAATCTTACAGAAGCTAAATGTTTTTCTTTTTTTTTTCAACGTTTATTTATTTTTGGGACAGAGAGAGACAGAGCATGAACGGGGGAGGGGCAGAGAGAGAGAGGGAGACATAGAATCGGAAACAGGCTCCAGGCTCCGAGCCATCAGCCCAGAGCCTGATGCGGGGCTCGAACTCACGGACCGCGAGATCGTGACCTGGCTGAAGTCGACGCTTAACCGACTGCGCCACCCAGGCGCCCCAGAAGCTAAATGTTTTAAATTTGTCCCATTGTCCCCTCTTTTTCATTCTCATTTGCCTGTTACTAAGAGGACTCAGACCTTTCTCCTCATTATTTAACCTAAATGTATACACATACAACACAATCTTAGCATATCACATTTGTACTATGGATTTGTTTTTTTTAGTGGAGTGGGAGACCATTGTTACTGTGTGTGTAAATAGAAAGATTTAAAAATTTTCTTTATCTTTAATTGCCTGTGCCTAACTAACTTAAATATATTTGAAGAAGAGTTCAGTGGATTTGAGGTTTTCCTTTGCAGACCCTAGACTTGAGGTATATATCTACCACTGTCACATATGATTTGATATTTGTTTTGTTGCTTTCAAAGCTCTTTCAGCGTCTGATTTTACATCATGGTGATTATCTGGGGATGGAGTACTTTCTGTTAAAGAGAATCATTGTTTTTAGATCTCAAAGGGCAAAATGCCATAGTAATCTTATGAAATGAAATGGTTTCTCTGGCTTTTTAGGTTTGGATTTAGTTTTCATTGGTTTTTACATTTACTTTTGTAAAAATCAGCATGCCTGTGTAATAATGATTTACTGCTCTTTTCCCTCCTACTTGTCAACTGTTCAGTAAGAAAAGCCCAGAGGCAGTTTCTTTAAAGTATTAAGGGAAGATAGAATTTCTTAGCGTCACTTTATTTTGGCTTAATTAAAAATTTTTTACAATATTTATTTATTTTTGAGAGAGAGACAGAGCTCGAGGGGAGGAGGGGCAGAGAGAAAGGGAGATAACAGAATCCAAAGCAGGCTGCAGGCTCTGAGCTTTCAGCACAGAATCCAATGCTGGGCTCAAACTCATGAACTGTGAGATCATTACCTGAGCCAAAATTGGACATTTAATCAACTGAGCCACCCAGGTGTCCCTTGGCTTAATTTTTAATGTACAAGCCCTTGAAAGCAGTTCTCAAAAATTAGAACTACATTGTCTTTCCACTGCAGGGATTAATTGTTTAATAGTATGTTGGGAACCCTGTAGTGTTTTTTAAATAAAATACATATATACACAATTTAAGGAATAGGCAGGTTTTGGGGGTAGTAATTGGCAAAACTAATCAGAGCCAAACCCATTCATAGTCCCACATATAATTGGAATGATTCAAAGAAAAGCACTCATACTGAACCACAATGCATTCTTTAAAAAATAACATTACTGGCTATTATTTTGGCAGCCCTCCCCCAGCTGAGTTTGCATCAATGGAGTAGGCGTATCATAAATTAATTTTTAGTAGTCTAATAATATGTTTTCAGTTTATCCCTTACATCTTAGAAAAGATTATTACGTTACGAGTATCACTTTGGTTTTGGACCTTGTTTAACTGACAAATTGGTTTAATCAGTGATGTGCTATATTTCAGTTCAACTTTTTGCAACTTTTCAAGGCCTCTAGATCCAAACTCACTGAATGGCAGGAAATAGGGTCTTATGAGATTATTATGGTTCGGACATAATAAAACGAGCCAGGGGTTGGCAAATTTTTGCTGTAAAGGACCAAAGAGTAAGTATTTTTGGTTTTGCCAGTTATAAGGTCAGTGTCTGATTTACATCATGAAAGCAGCCATAGACAACACAAATGAACATGGATATGCTTCACTATAAAGCCTTATTGCCAACCCTTGGTATAGAGTAGTGGATCTTAATTTTAGCTGCATATTAACATCACTTGGGAACTTTACAGACCATGATGCTTGGGTCTTTACAGTAGGGATTGAGTTCATTGGTTCTGTGATGTGTCCTGGTTGTTAGAATTTTTATAAGCTCTGTAGGTGATTACACAGTGAGCAAAGGTTGAAATCCACTGACAAAGAGGAAAGAGGCCAAATGGAGTTATGATTTGAAAATGAGCTGTGTATTTAACATTTAACTACAGTGTAACCATGATCAAATTAAACTCTTGCCTTTGGTTTCTTTATCTTTAAACTATGGTACTTATTTCTAGGATTATTAAAATTAAATGACAAAGCACACCTATCCTAGTCATCCTAGGTCCCCTTAAAGTTGAGACTATTGAGATTATTTGAAGTCAGTTTTCCAGTGCAGTGTACTTTATACCAAATTCTACGAAGGATGGTCTTATTGGCCTCAGCTTGACCTTTTGTTTGAATATTTAGAAAGAATACTCTTTCAAGCAGCCCATTCCAGTGTATGATGACTGTTAGGAAGTTATTTTATATTGAGCCACAATTTGCTTCTTATAAATTTCCTGATTCTTCCATTTTGAGTAGTATAATCTGAGCTTAACCTAATCTCTCCAAATCTACCTGATAACTCTTGAGATATTATAAATAATTTAAGTATTCCCCTGAAGTCCCTTTTTCTTCCAGGCTAAGTGCTATACCACCCACCTTCTGAATTCCAAACCTTTTTACCATCTTTCTTACAATTAACCCCCCCCCTTTTTTTTTTACCCAGAAATTGTGGTGTACAGAATTAACTACAACTCTTCAGGCAAATTCTGACCAATATAGAACACGGTGCATCTGTGTTTATCAAGGTTAAGGCCCGTCTCAAGGTCAATCAGCTAGTAAAAATAGAGGCAGGTTTCATGTTAAGGACTATCTCACAATAAAACTTTGCAATTAATGAACTAGTAGACTCAGTCTTTTAAAAAATTGGTCCTTTTTAAAATCTCAAACATTTTTATGAACTGTACCATCATTGGTTATACTTTGACTTCCATGTATTCAGAAATGGTGAAAATGTTCAGTGAAATAGTTTTAAATGAATTTAAAGCTCTATATGTAAATATTGAAAAGTCCTAGTAAATTATATAGTCTACAAGCAATGCTTGACATATTTGGATTTGTGGATCCTTTATAAGAACTATGACTTCCCCCAGATTCTTAAGTCTACAGTTTGTAAACCACAGCTCTAAATATCTTCTTGCCACATAATGTTGAAGCTGGTGTTCAGATGCCTCATTCAGAAAGGTTGTAAGATATTGAGATAAGATGTACCCACAAATATCAGGGATTTTATTTAGGTGGGTTTTTTTTTTTTATCTTAAACTACCATGTTTGTTATTTGACTCACTAATGCAGTTTGCTTCAAATTATTTTTAATATAGGAGGATACTTGAAAATAGAACTCAGGAGGGGTGTCTGTGTGGCTTAGTCAGTTAAGCATCTGACTGGGGCTCAGGTCATGATCTATCTCACAGTTCATGAGTCCTCTATCAGCTCTGTGCTGACAGCTCAAAGCCTGGAGCCTGCTTCAGATTGTGTGTCTCCCTCTGTCTCTCTGCCGCTTCCCCACTTGTGTTCTCTCTCTCAAAAATAAACATTTAAAGAAAATTAAAATAATAAAGTAGAACTCAGGAAAGGTTAGAAACTTCTGTCATTTTTATTTTATTAAGGTTTATGGGATAATTAAAACTATTGGGAAAGACTAAATTCTAGGTAATAGGGAAAAAAGATGTCATTAATGAGTTAGTTCCTCTGCTAATATAAAAATTTCAAATACTTGTCTTGCTGATATACAGCCAGAAAACCAATTTCAGCCAAATGAAGTAGATAAAAATCTAAGATTAGAAATTAAATTGTATGAGTAAAAATAATAACTAAATTATTTAACAGTGTGTTCACAGAGCAAGTCAAGTGTTAATCCTATTTTTGATCTTTTGATGCTCTGGGACTATAAGGAACATGGTTTTCTGAATCTAGATTCTTCTGTTATTTCATTCACACTAGCAGGTTGCACCCATTGTAAATACTGCTTTGCTTGTATACACATTTAATTTATGCATGCATATATACCACATTTTGTACAAACATTTTTTGAAATGACTGACAAATCAGCAAAACAATTTAGCAGTAAAGAAATTAAGTGTGCTAGTCAAGGGTGTTAATATGGTTGCCCTAATTAAGCTTATAATTGGCTCTAAGATACTAAGCCTCTCTCAAAAGGAGGAAACATGCCAGTTCTGGAGGATGACAAACTTTTCTGGTACTGAATTCTGAAAGGAATTTCTCTATTGGGGTTTTATATAGTTGATACCATGTAGCATAATAACCATTTCCTCTGTAAATGAAGCCGTAGATTATATAACCTGATTTTTATCTTTAATAAAAGCTGATACAATTCTGTATAGATGATTGATTTTTTTAATGTTTTGTTTATTTTTGAGAGTGTGCCAGCAGGGAAGGGGCGGGGAGAGAGAGAGAGGGACAGGATCTGTGAGC